TCAAAAGTGAGAGTGGAACTCTTTAAAAAACATTTGTAAAACAATTATCAATAGGGAAGGATTTTAAGGAAATTAGTGTGACAAAGGAAAGTTATATCTATATAATAAGTGATAATATGAACATTGGGGAGTTTGAGGTTAAACTAAGCATGAATGAACAAATGGAGTGATTTAGTGAAGTATTCAACAATTGCCTCTATCTCTTTCAAAAGATTAAATAGTTGATACTATTAATCTAAGTATAAATAACATTACATATTTAAATACCTTATATGGCTAATCAAACTTCATTTTAGCCACATGGTTAGGTATTTTGATGGTTGAAGGCATCTACAATACTTCTGTTAAACTATAATATTTTGAAATATCATCCCAAAATCCTTGATTTTGAAAAGGAAAAAAAGTGATCTTTTTGCTTAGTAATCAAGGGTATAGTCACATAATGAAGTTTCAAAAGTTAGTGGGACTTACTGAACAAGCTTTTAAGCTCATTCAATAGCTATGTTAGTGAATAGAAGGGGTTTAACGAGGATTAAATAAAAGATATTAGAGGATAATATTTTATAAATCTTGATGCATTTTAAGGATGTTAAAAAATGGTCATAGAGTGATCACTTATAAAATAGATGGTTTTGTTTGGTCTATGGTATATATGGTTTTGAATTACTAATGAGATAGTAAGAATGGATATAGCCTTAGCATAAAAGACTAGCATACTAATGGTATAAACTTAGAAATGAAAAACATTTAGACCAGTGGTCGACAAATGCCTCCTTCTCCCATATAAAAACCTGGAACTTTTTAAAAACTCCCGGGTAGATCAAACCATGAAGGATCTACGGCCCGGGAAAAAAATCATGTATAAGGATTTAACCTTGGTTATTTGATATCAAGAGGATTTTATCTTGAGTATTTTAATAAGAAAAGGATTTTTTTGTTAACCCATATTAATTAATTGAAATATAAGTACATTTAACTTAGTGTTAAAGATGCTAGTAGAATATACTACATACCACCTGTCAGTGGAGTAGGTAGGTCATTTTCAGGAGCGAGAGCCCACTTGGTGACACGCTATATGCTACTTAGGTAAACGTGGTAGAATGCCAAAACTACCTCCAAGTAAAAAGAAGCATCCCTTAGCTACTGATCTTGCTTCTGGGAGGCAATCAACTCTAAATTTGTGAAAAGCTACTATGCAAACAGAGATTGAGAATGATATTGAGGAACTAGATGATGATGCAACATCAGGGCATTTTAAGGAGCCTTGGAAGCAGAGCTACCGTTGGTTAGAATTTGATGCAACTGAAGGCACAATGTTTTACAAGATTTGCAAGGCAAATCCACGAACTAAGAATATTTTTGGCAAACAGGGTAGTAGTAATTTTCGAAAGAGTGCCTTACGCAGTCATGCTAGCTCTGAAGATCACAAGGAGTCTGTATTTGCTGAGGAGGTGCGTCGTGGGAAGCAACAATCAATTTTAGAAGCTACAACTTAACATCTACACCATGTTGAACAAGGGGTGCTTGTGTTATTTTATTTTGTTTATTATATTGCGAAAGGATTTGCTCCATTCACTCATTTTCCAGAGCTAATTGAACTTCATCGACTTAATGGGATGAACATTCCAAGATATTATGACAGTGACAAAGGTTGTTCACAACTGATAACTTCTATTAACGAGGTATGTTTATGAGACCATGTTAATTGATTCTAACATGGTTCATGTTTCACTTCAGGTTATGGTTAAAAATATCTTACAAAAAGTCAGGGAAAGTCCCTATTTTGGATTGATGGTGGATGAATCGACTGATATAAGGTATTCCTTAATTTGGATTTATTAGTTTTCTTATGATTTGATTTATTTTCAGCACTATGAAGCATTTGATCTTTTACGTGACTTACATCAAATGTGGTTCTGTGAAGACGAGCTACTTGGGGATTGTCAACATTGGTGATAGTGGTGTAGCAAGTATCTCTAACTGCATTAGTGATATGCTTAAGTAGTGGAACTTAGATATGCAGCGGTTCATGGGTTTTGGTTCAGATGGATGTAATGTCATGGCTGGTAGCAGGACAGGGGTAGCAACCAAGCTAAAGGAGATTAATCCCTTCTTAAGCAGTGTTCACTGTATGGCACATCGAGCTAATTTATGTGTGGAAGATGCTTATGGGGATGGAGAATGTGCTACACAATGCATGACGATTGATAAACTAGTGAACAAGGTAGCAGCTTACTTCAGCAAAAGCTTGAAAAGGTTGGCTCAGCTAATGGAAATTGAGATGGAACACAATCATACCAAGCTTAAGCTGCAGTGCATACAGGATATGAGGTGGCTAAGTCGTGGAGGGGCTTTTTCTAAGCTTTGCGAATGTTTGGAGCCAGTAGCTGAGCTTTTCAAACGAAGTGGCAAGCTGCAACTTTACAACAAGCTGAGAACTCTCAAGAACATGTACGTCTTGCATTTTCTGGCTGATATTTTACAGGTGATAGTAGTCTCAATCAGAAATTCCAAGAGAAGCTAATCGACATCACCATGGTTGGACCCTTGTGCCGAGAGACTATTGTGAAGCTAAACCAATATTACATCAGTGATGAGATTGATTTGAACAGTAATCCCATGGATAGCAAATCATATCCATGCATCCCTGATGGTGGTAGTAAGGATGGCTTCCTCCATGCTTTGAGAGCTTCAGTTAAAGGAGATGTTTACAGAACTATGCAATTGATCCGATCAGAAGATGGAAGTGATCTTCAAGAAGCTATGCAGTTTCAAATCTCCTTTACTTCTGCTCTCATTGCAGCTATTAAACAACGATTACAAGACATAGGGATACTCTCCAAGATGCAAGTTCTGGCTCCAGTTAATTTGCCAATCCTTGTCAAGGAAAACAAACGGTTTGGGATTACAGAGGCAAGGGAGCTTGCAGAATTTTATGGAAGGCATTTAGAGGTGGATGGAGTTCTTGTTAAAGGCATTGTGGATCCTTCAGCCTTCATGGAAGAGTATTCAACTTGGAAGCTGCTTGCCTCAGAGGAATGGAAAGGACGAAATTTTATTGATATGTGGAGCATCATACATAGTCAAGCAAGTTGGGCAGAGAGCTTTCCAAACTTGCTTCGAGTTGGTGAAATTGGGATGGTGTAGTGTGTTAGCACTGCAAGTTGCGAGTGAGGTTTTAGCAGAATAAACTTGATCAAGAACAAGTACAGAAATCAGATGAGTACTGAAACAATTGATGCTCTCGTAAGGATTTCAGTTGAAAGTCCTGAAATTCAGAAGTTTAACTTTGATGAAGTTGTGGACCACTGGAAAAAAAGTGCACACTATCGGCAAATTTTCTCACAGTTGTAAGCTTGTTTAACCTTATGTTTTTTTTAATAAAAGGATTTTTACTTGAGAAAATTTTGATTAGAAGGTTTAATCCTGGGAATTTTGAAATATCCTTGGAGGTTAAACTCGAGGAGGATTTTTGCTTTGGAAGGTGAAAAGGTTTGTCGAACGCTGTGATGCACCAACGTGTTGAAGAGTTACTGCATAATGGTGGCATCTAGAGCTGGCAGCAAAAGATCATTGGAGGAGAAGAAAGAGATACATCCCAGAGAGTTGATACAGGTTTTCTCCTTGTATCATTGTTTCCAGTGTGTAAATAGCTAATAACTTTGGGCAACCTTGTTGCACTTTTAGTGACTGTATTCCACCAGCACCAGTGGAGTAGGTGCCTCCAATTCTGGGAGTGGTGTGATTCCATAATTTGACTGCACTCTGAGGCATTTCTGCTAGTACTCCACATGATGCCTCAGCTGAGAAGTAAGTCATCCCATTGTGGTCACCAACTTTGCTGCACACTCAAAATCCCATTGGAAACTCTATCTCTCATTGGAAAATGCCATTGGAAAATCTGGAATAATCTGATATTTGGGAATACCTCTGGAATCATAGTACATCACACTCCCTACTGGCAGCAGAGGGGCTTAGGGAGAGCTGGAATGCACATAAAATGGCCCTACTCTTTCTTGGTATGACAACTTGAACACCATCACCATGTCATGCTCGCTCCAATTTCACTTGACGAAGGCAAGGTAGGAGTCCACACCTTGGATGAAGGACATGCCATGATAGGTTTGGTTTCGCATGGTATGTGGGTGCTAGTGTGTATCCTCGTAACACTGTTCCAACCAGCGTCAAGGTTGGTTGGCCACACTGTTCCACCAGCATCGTAGCCAAAGGCGTGGGAAGTAACTACATGCATTTGATGGTTAATTGCGCATTGCAGCACGAAAACCTTGTAGGGTGGTGCTCATTGACTGTGGTCTTGAGGGACAACATGCGGATGATCTGCCCTCATGAGCTTGGGATGACAGTGGACAAAGACTGGGAAAGTTGTGTGATAGATTACAAAATTATCAAATATCTTTCGCTAATCGACAAGATTACTATTTACATAGTTTATACTATGTGGCTAGATCTTTGCCACAGTGTTTGGGCATAAGGATCAATGGGATACTTGGCACTGACTGCTCCTCGTTTTGCTCCTCCTCCTTTTTTCAGCACGCAATCTGTCAAGCTCCTTGAGGAGTTTAGCATCCTCCATGTCCTCGTCGCTAGAACTTTCACTCTTGCTCTCTTCGCTCTCGTTCCAGAGCGTCACACACCTAGTATCCAAATTCATGGCGTTTTCAACTCTAACCTCTTTTTTCTCCCCTGATCCCCTTGAAAATGGCCCCTCCGTGGCAAACGCACAACCACCGCCTACACGTTGGTGCCATGCTACAAACCTTATATAAGGTAGGTCTAAACCCTACTTATTATAAACCGGCGGCGAATAAAGTGACAGAATATCCGTGAGTGCGGCAGGTCAGTTGGCAGAATATACGCGTTTCGTTTCTCTTTAGGGCTTCTCCCTCTCTCGAGTGAGTGGAATGTGATGTTGGAGAAGGAGCTGCTCAACCAGCTGATCGGCGTGGTGTATGACACGCTGGGTGGGATCCAAATGTCCGGCAGGCACTCGTCCGCGAATTTCACTACCGCGGTTGTGGTGGGCGTGGCGGTCACCGCCGTCGCGGGGGTCGCGGTCGCCGTCGCGGTTGGGGGCACTGGATTCTTGAGCGATCGGTAAGCTTTCCTAACAATCCCTCTTCTCGCGAATTTGAGGCAAAATTCCCATCGATCGATGCCTAGAGAATGGAATGGAACTGGATGAATGAATTTCCTGGGATTGCTTTCCTTGTTCCTGGAGCTCTTTGCTGCCTTTGTTCCCACAGATGTGTGGAGATGTGGCGGTGTTGAGACCACTGGACATGGGGCAAGGCAATGCTCACAGAAGAAACCAAGCTTATTGCAAGCCTTACTATTTCTCCTCCAAGAGGTAGTAGTAGCTTCCCCTCCCTCGAATTTTTTCTTCTTGCTTTCTTGTGTGTTTATTTCTTCTCTAAGCGGCTGGCCATCTTTTTGATCCTTTTGTTGGTTTCTTTCTCTCTTCCAGGGGGCCGTTTCGAAAGCGATGGAGGCGAAGGCGGCATCACCCCCTCACCCAGCAGCAATGGGAGGATTTCTTCGGGGATGAAGGCCGTCTCTCGAATAACAGCACCGAAAAGCTCATTCACAAAGTTCGCTGGGGGGTGAGGTCTTTCTTCTTTTTTTACCAGTTTTTCCAGTGTTTAGAGTTGTCTCAAGGAAGAACTGTGATGTGCGTCGTGACAGGGCATAGAGCCAGGAATTCGAGCTCAAGCGTGGCCATTTCTGCTTGGAATGTAAGTGTGTTACAAATCCTTTCATACGTTCAAAGTTTCAAAGTTTGTCATACCTTCCATCAGATACGAGGTTGATAGCACCGAGGCAGAAAGAAAGGAACAAGATGCGAAGCTAAGGTAACGAGCAAGTTTCCGAAGATCCCATACGCAAAAAAACTAAACTTTGCTTGGAAACTCGCCTGCAGGAAGGAATACGAAAAGATACGAAGCTACTGCCAAGAAATCAAGCAATCACTCACGTCCAGAAGAGAAGGAGAGCATCAACAAGATGGCATGGAAGAACAAGCAGAAGAAGAACACAAACTCATGCCATTCTCCGAGAGCCAGATCGAAGCATTCAGCAGCATCAACGACAGCAGCGCGTTCTGGAAGAAAGGACCCAAGGCAGTGGACGACATAGTTACCTGGCAAAGGATCATCCGCCTGGACGCCGTCCGGATGAACGCCGAGTGGGTTCCATACTCTCCGTCCCAGGCCAACGTGAGCGACGAGGAGACGTCCAAAGTAGCCCGCAAGGCCGGCCTGTCCGACGACGAGCACCTGGAAACTTGCCGTCGCTACCACGCCGCCAGGCTCGTCTCCATCCTCGAGGCCTACGCGCTCTACGATCCGGACACGGGCTACTGCCAGGGGATGAGTGACTTGCTCTCGCCGTTCGTCGCGCTCATGGACGACGACCACCAGGCCTTCTGGTGCTTCGTGAGCTTCATGAGGACCGCGCGGCACAACTTCCGGCTGGACGAGGTTGGAATCCGGCGGCAGCTAAACGGGACCTCGGACATCATCAAGGTGGCAGACCCGGAGCTGTACGAGCACCTGGTGAAGATCAAGGCCGAGGACTGCACCTTCGTGTACCGGATGGTGGTGGTGCTGTTCCGGAGGGAGCTGACTTTCGAGCAAACGATATGCCTGTGGGAGGTGATATGGGCGGACTCGACGGCAATGAGGACGGGCAAGGGACTGGGAGAGGCCCAGAAGAAGAAGAAGGCTCCCCCGACTAAGGACTTGCTGCTCTACACCATAGCGGCGGCGGTGTGCCGGAGGAGGAAGTTTATCATGGAGAACTGCAAAGGGATGGACGAGCTGCTGCGGGAGTGCAATGCCATGGCGGGGAACTTGGACGTGTGGCAAATGCTGGACGACGCTCGGGAGCTTGTGAGTCGAGTGCACGGGAGAAGGCCAGAGACGCCTACATGAGAAACGAATCCTGGTTTAGAGATAGTAACTGACGTTTACCTCGGGATAAGAGTCGGGCGGGCTTGTGCAAAGAGCCTGCGGCTTTTATTTTTCTTCTCACAATCATACAGCGCAGTGATCAAAGGTAGTATGCCCAAGAATGTAAAACGAGTCAAGATACCTTCTTTACGTACACCTCGGTCGCCGAAACGAGCCGGTTCCTGTCGACGTACAGCTTAGCTATCCATCCGGCCAGGAAAATTCCCAGCAAAGCAGCAGTGCTGGACCAAAAGATGACGATCCACTTTGGCATTGGCTTGGGATAGAGACCTGGACGGAGAAAGAGCGCGCTCATTGCTGTTTTCGTCGTCGAAGATGAATAAAGGATGCTTACCTTGGCCGAACTTGACACAGATGAGTACCTCGACAATGCAATTTGCAAGTGATAGCCAGCAAAATGCGCCAATCTTTTTCATTGGTTTTCTGAAAAAAAAAAAAAAAAACACACCACGAGAAGTAAATCAGGAGAAAAGCGGTGAAACTGGAGTACCTGTCCTGAAGGAATGAATTGTACTCCCGGATGGCTGGATTGGCTATAAGCCACCACAAGATGAGCCTGTACGAGTTTAGCGGGTTGCGTGGAGGCACCCACAGGCAAAACTTGAGGAAGAACGCATTGAGCTCCACGGTGAGGACAATGACAACAAGCCCCAGCACTTGGACAAAACGTAACGGGCCAGAGAGAGGATTCCATTCGTCTTTGTCCCAGTTCGCTGGAGTGAATTGACTTAGTGACCGTCTCACCTGAAAAAGTTATGAATGTTTATATGTTTAGATCTCCGATGTTTCACTTCTCACCTTCCCCATTATGGTTGGCTGACGACTCAATCCAACCCACTCGTAAGTTTTTCCATCAAAGTACCGGACGGTTTTCATGCCAGACCAGATCCCTGTGGCTCACAGAATTAAAACCAGACATTTTCATACAAAGGAGAATTACGTACCAAACCAGTTGCAAATAAGAACGTCGAGAATGATACTGTCCCACCAACATTCATTGAAGTTCGGTAGCATATGGTTAAACGTCACCTGAAAGAAAATGTTCCAAGGTTTTTGGCAACGCTACTCTTTTCGATATTTACCTCCATCATCTCGAAGCCGATAGAAAGCATCCACAAAATTGGAAGACTACGTAGCATGATAGCTTTTGCCCACCATCCCAGGACATGAGCAATAACAAATTCATCAAACAGAGTATCCTGAACAAACACACAGAAATTAGTGTTCAGCTTCACGATAGTTATGACATTCATACATAGACATTCTTAAACTTGTTGGGATCCTCGGGTGTGTAGATTCGGCAGTCTCCTCCATATGACCTTTCGGGAAGCTCTGAAAGAACAAAAAAAAAAAGAAAAAAAGTAAGACAACTTCCAGCTACACGAGCAAAGAAAAGACTTGCCAATTCCGAGATCCGGATGAATATATTTCATGAATTGCCTTGCATCGTCTCTTTTCTGCAGAAAGAGCAAACCATTCAGAGGAATAAAAACTAGTGTCAAATACCTGGAACAAAAGGAAGGTGAGGAACACTAGATAAACCACTGCGACGCCATGGATCATTCTCCAAAACGCAGGATGCGGTCGTATCAAGATCCTGTGAAGTGATAAAAGACGAAGAAAGAAGAATGAAATCGCAGCAGTGAAAATGCTTACGTGGGAGGAGCTTGGAGTAAGCAATATCCTAAGAACACGGCGATCATGGCCCATACTCCTCTAGAAAAATTGGAACTCGATCACTCCACTTCAACCAAAAGAAAGAGTGAAGGAAACGAAAGAGCTTACCTCGTACCATTGACAGCGGCATTCTCGTCGGAGATCTCCGGTTGAAGCGCACCGCTGGCCCATCTACAAGAAAAAATTTCCAGAAAAACGAGTATGATCGATGAAAATAGCAGCTGTGGAGATTCTTTCTTACATGAGAGCGCAAACACCGGCAATGAGCACGGAGATCGTGCGTGGATGATACGCCCAGGCCGTCCAGGGATCCAAATCGCTCACTACAACAACCGGAGGAGGATCATCCAGCACCAAATCCGATCTCCGGCGCTGCTGGCGATGCTTCTTCCGGTGCTCCAGGGCAGAAATCAACAGAGCGCCATCGCTACTAGCCACGGCGCCATCGCTGCTAGCCACGGCGCCATCGCTGCTCGCCATCTGGCAGGAACAAGTGAAATATTTTTAGGGCTCTTCAAGGCATTTGGAGATATCCCAGTGCGGGATTAGAAGAGAATCGATCGATGGGAGGATCGTCGAGGAAGGTCTTGCGCCTGCTAGCGCGGATCAAACAGGATGGATTCCTCACACCAGATGAGCTCCAGGCCGCGGCCGCTGCCAAGGCGAAGATCTCGCGTTCACAGGCGTTGCGAAATTACGAGGAGCTCCGCGAGCAAGGGGAATCGCCCAGTGCCTGGGATGTCTCCGCGGCGCTGATGGCGTGCGGGAGCTATAGGGATCTGGAAACCGGCCAGAGGATCCACGCAGAGATTGGAGTGGCGAACGATTCCAAGAACACCATCGCGGCATCGCTAGTGGCGATGTACGCGAAATGCGGCAAGATGGGCGAGGCGCAGCGGCTGTTCGATTTGATGGGCGCGAGGAAGAAGCCGCTTCTGGCGTGGAACGCCATCGTCCTGGGCTATGTTCGCGCCGGGAGGAGCGATCGAGCTCTGGAGATCTTCCATTCGATGCAAATGGAGGGCGTGAGGCCGGACGAGAGGAGCTTCTTGGCCGCTATCGGGGCTTGCGCGTCGCTGGCGGTGGATCCAGGCGCGGATCAAGAAGAAAAGAAAAACATTTCGGATCGGGTGAGAAGAATCCACGGTCTCCTGGAGAAGAAACTCGTGGACACGCGAGCTTGCTCGATCGTGACGGCAGCACTGGTGGATGCGTACACGAAGTGTGGGAGCATCGAGGAGGCGAGAGTAGTGTTCGAGACAATGCCCAAGAGAGATGATCTAGGGTTTTATGTGAGCGCTATAAACCCTAAAATTAACCTTTTACAAAGTTATAGAACCTAACACTCAAAAAGGTGATGGAGGAAATGCTAACCATTGAGCTTATCAACCAATGTAGCCATCTTGCTCAAGCAAGGAGACTCCACCAAACAATCTTGCAAAACGAGCACAGTGACAACGTATTCGTCTTGAATCTTCTCATCCAAATGTACGGCAAATGCGGCAGCCTAGAAGATGCTCATCTCGTCTTTGACGGCATCGGGCAGAGAAAACAGAATCTCTTTTCGTGGAACATTCTCGTCCAGGCATATGCCCACAACGGGGATCCAAAAGCCGCTCAAGGAATATTCGACAGCATGCCCATGAGGGACTTGGTATCTTGGACAGCACTGCTAGGAGCATATTCTCAGGCAGGGAATGTAAGAGATGCCCACTGTCTACTCGACCAGATGCCCGAATGGGACACAGTCTCTTGGAACGCGATGCTCACGGCATATTCCCACATTGGGCATCTGGACAAGGCTGGGGGCTTGTTCCAGGCCATGCCCGAGAAGAATCTAATCTCCTGGAATGTGCTGCTCTTGGCATATGCCCAATCAAGGAATATTTCCGAGTTGCACGCTATGTTTTCAAAGATGCCACAGAGGAATGTGGTATCATGGAATATATTCCTAGAGGCGCATGCAGAGGACGTGGGATCAGGTAAACGAATCTTCGATGGAATGCCGCAATGGGATCTGGTGACATGGACAACTATGGTCCGGGCATATTCCAGTGCTGGGCATATGCGGGAATCCCAAATCGTGTTTGATAGCATGCCTGTACAGGACATAATCATATGGAACGCTCTTGTGGCTGGATATGCCCAAAACGGGCATATTCTTCAAGCAAAGGAGTGTTTTGATAAAATGCCCAAATGGAATACTATGTCATGGAACATTATCATAGCAATGTATGCCCAAAACAGTCTCACCGACAAAGCGAAGCAAATGTTTCGAAACTTGGTTTACCGAAGCGTCATGACCTGGAACATCATGATCGTGGCTTACACGCAGCAAGGATTGATCGATCAAGCAAAGCTCATCTTCGATGAAATGCCAATCCACGATGTAGTTTCCTGCAATACTTTGATAGCAGCCTTCGTCCATGACGAAGCTCGAGCGTTGCAAGTCTTTGAAACGATGGAGCAAAAGGATATAGTAACTTGGACGTCGATTCTCCAAGTTTTTCTCAGCGAGGATGGCAGCGGCCTGGAGCGAGCAAAGCTCGTCTTTGACACCATGATGCCCGAGTGGAACGCCATCGCCTGGACCTTGATGGTCTCTGCGTGTGGAAGCCGAGGACGTCTCGAGGAAGCCCGATGGATCGTAGAGACCGCCCCCGAGAGAGATATCCGGCTCTGGAACTCAATGCTTTCCGCCTATTCCCAGTGCCACCACCTCCAAGAAACTCTCGAAACTTTCTCGAGAATGCCGCAGCGAGACGTTGTGTCCTGGAACTCGGTGATGGCGGCGTATGCCCAAGACGGTCATATCAGCGCTGCGAGGAAGATACTGGAGAGGATGCCCGAAAGGAACGTCGTTTCCTGGGATACCATGGTAGCAGCCTATGCCCAGAGAGGTGACACCGATCGATCGCTGCAAGCTTTCCTCTCCCTGCTGCTCGAGGGACTCCAGCCCGACGAGATGACTTTCCGGAGCGTTCTCACGGCGTGTAGCTACGTTGGAGGCCTGGAGGAGAGCTTAAGCCGCTTCCACTCGATGAGTAGCGACTTTGGTCTGGCACCTCGGCGCGAGCACTGCTCCTGCATTGTCGATCTTCTCGGGCGAGTGGGGCAGCTCCAGGACGCCGAGGAGTTCGTCACCAGTCCAGATTCTTCGTCGGCTAGCTCGGCTTCCTGGGGAGCGCTGCTGGGAGCCTGTAAGATTCATTCGGACCCCGAGAGAGGAGGACGAGCAATAACGCATTTCACCAAGCTGGATCCCGAAAACTCTGCTCCATACTTGCTACTGGCAAGCACACTAGAATCGTAGGACGCTATGCGTCGGTGACTTAAAAGACCTTTTCCACACGAAAAAGAAAAACCATTAGCACTGTGGAGTGGACGATCGCGCAAAGAAGTCTCACCTTGGGCGAACTATGTAGGAGGCCAACGCAGGAACTTTAGTCCTCTCAAGCTCGAGGGCATGTAGTCCTGCTCCACAGGACCACTGTGGGACGGAGGATAAATGTAGCCCTTCGCGTATCCAAGATCTTTCATGAGTTTGGTCGGAGCATTCCTGAGATGGAGTGGAACCGGCTCGTTCTGGCCCTTCTCACGCACGTACTGCTGTGCTGCTTGGATCGCTTGGTAGACCGCCACGGACTTTGGAGCCAAGGCCAGATAAACCACGCACTGCGCGAGATGGACGTTGCACTCGGGCATTCCCAGGAAGTGGCAAGCTTGATAGCACGCAATGGCCTGTGGTAGAGCCTGTGGATCGGCCAAGCCAACGTCCTCGCTCGCGAATCTGACCAGCCTTCGTGCGACGTAGAGCGGGCCTTCACCACCTTCCAGCATCCGTGCAAGCCAGTAAATAGAAGCATCAGCGTCGCCTCCTCTCATCGACTTGTGGAGAGCACTGATGATGTTGTAGTGCTCCTCGCCGGTCTTGTCATAGAAGACGTGGGAGCGTTGCAGTGCGTCCTTAACATCTGCTAGCGTGACCACCATGACTGACTTGTCGATCTCTGTTTCTAGCGTCGCAACTCGTCTATCCAACACTTCTCTGTCCATGCTTGTTCCATCGGCCTCTTTGTCAGCTTCTATCACTGTTGTTGCTGACGCTGCGAATGCCACTCCGGCAGCGGCAGTCACGTTCTTCCCACCAACAAATTTCTTGAAAGGCTTTGTGTACTCTTGCTGCGAGTGCTGGACGTTCTCCTTTAGAACTTCCAAGATGTTGAAAGAATCTCGCTTCATGATCTTTTCCACTCCACTGGGCTCTTTCCTCAAAGTTCCAGTCCTGTTATCCCACTCGCCAGGAACAGCATTGCCAGTAGCAGCATCACGTCTAGAAGGCGACGGTGTGTTGTCCATCTTCGCAGCTGGAAGAGCACTCTCCAAGGCGGCTTCGCCACTCTGGAACCTGGAGCTCGCTGCTAGAACGGCTATCTCCAGAGTGTTGAGTGCTGCCCGAGCGTCTCCATCGGCTGCCGCCGCTAGAAAAACCACGGCATCGTCTTCCACGCGCAGCATCTCTGGCGAGCTGATGCCAGCGGAGACTATAACACCTTTCTCCTTGTCCAAGACAGCGCGCTTGATAAGTTTCTCCAGATGCTCGGGAAGGAGCTTGTTCATTGTGAGAACTTTGCACCTCGAAAGCAGTGCCGCATTGATCTCGAAGGACGGGTTCTCAGTCGTGGCTCCCACGAAGACAACATGCCCAGCTTCCACGTATGGAAGAAACGCATCTTGCTGAGCCTTGTTGAACCTGTGAACCTCGTCCAGGAAGAGCAAAGTTCGCTGCCCATACTTCTTGGCCTTCTTGGCCTCCTCTAAAACCTCCCGGACCTCTTTCACCCCGCTCGTCACCGCCGAGAGCGCCACAAACCGGTAAGAAACCGTCGAAGCAATCGCCCGAGCAAGCGTCGTCTTCCCTGTTCCTGGAGGACCCCAGAAAATCACCGAAGCCAGTGAATCGCCCTCCAAGAGGCTCTTCAAGATGCCTCGAGGCCCAAGAAGATGATCCTGCCCGAGTATGGCGTTCACACTCGTCGGCCTCATCCTCTCCGCAAGAGGAACCGCGGCCTTGGAGTTTTTCTTCGCCACCTTTGTCGAAAGAAACGGGAAAGATTTCTGCTGAGGCGATGGCTGCTGTTCTTCGTCTTGCTTTAGCTTCTTCGCCGGAGGCTCCACCAGAGCTGGCTGCTTCTGGATCTTCGCTACGCCACCTCCAACATCCGCATCCACGCTCTCGAAAACTCTATCGGTGATCGTAAGAACTGTCCGCGTGGTAGTAGTAGCATCGTCGTCCTTGCTCTTGAAAAAACTGTTCTTGCGAGTCCCAATCTTCTTCTGCGATGGAGCCTCCTTCCCCCCGTTCTCTCCATCCGTGATGGCGACGAGAGCTTTCGAAGTGCTGGCCGCGAAGAACTGATCCACTCGTCCCTGGTGCTGCTGCCGCGAGGGAGTAGTAGTAGCAACACCGGCATTCCCAGCGCCGACGATCCCATCCGACTTCCTCTGGTTGAGAATCCACTCCGTGGCCTTGAACGTCGACTTCCCCCCGGTGGCCGCCAGCGCCTGCGCCGCGAGCTCACGGCTAAACCCCATGTCAGTCAGGTAATCCATGGCGCCAGCGCCCGATCACGTCCGCGCCCTAGCCTAGATTCTCGATCGCTCAGCTCAATCCATACCGCATTTCCGCCCGCGCGCCGCGCGATCTCAATCCCTCCCACGCTTGGCTTGCCCGGACCTAATAAGCGATTGTCCCGTCCGTACAGACACGTCAGCGATAATAATTTCTTGCCAGTAGTGGCTGGGCGATTTCTTCCTTTCGCTGTCGCCCTGTCCAAAATGTATAGTGGATTGGATTTATAGACAAAGATCGACGACTCGATCCTCTCGCGAAAGTTATTGACACATTCTTTGTAATGCCACAGCTAAAGTTTCTACGGGTAGAACTATAAAACGTTTGTTCTTTCCTCCAGCGCGAGCGAGCGAGCGAGCGAGAGAGAGCGATCTTCTTCCACCGACACGTTGAATGGAGAAAAAAACACTCTCTCTCTCTCTCTCTCTCCCCTTCTTTTTCTCTTTACTCCTGTTTGTCCTCCTCTGTATCGTCCAGGCCAAACTTCTTCTCCTTGTCTGGCTTGAGAACAGCCTTTTCGATGTCAAACGAGTTTTTTAGTGTCCCCGTAGTCAGGCCGACAGCTTCGTCCTCGTCAAACTTCTCGGTGGATTCGTCCGAGTATGCGTAGCTGCGAAAGCACGGAAGTGTCAATTCGATTTCAATCCGGGAGTTTGTTTTTTGTCTTGATGATTTCATACCGCATTGAGTTTTGTGATGGAGCCCAGAGGACGCAAAGTACGCAGAGCAGGAGGAACGAGACGACGTTCCAGAACGCCGAGATGACCCACGCGTTTTGCCAGTTCTCGCCGAATGGATCGGAAGCCTTGAAGTACAACTGCAATGTAAGGATGATTGTGAGCATGTTTCCAAACAAAACAAGGATGTAAAACAAAAGAAAGAGAAAAAACTAGCCTCGTAGCCAATCCATGCGACGGAGGCTATGACCGCCAATGTTAATGAGTTCGTGAAGCGTCTGTAGAGCTCCAGCTTGACAACGAGCTTCCTCGCCTAGATTGACAGCAGAGATCGTCAAAGGATGAAAGAACAGCAGCTTTGTTCTTACCTGAAGCTTCTCCAAAGTTTTTGAGAGCGAGTTGAAGATCCATAGGATGAAGAACGCGTCCAGTATTGCCACAGGCAGAACCAGCAGCAGCCTTGTCTTATTTGACATCTCGTCAATCCTCCCAACGTGTTCGACCACGTCCATAGTCTCCAAGGCTGCGAAGTAAGTCGTGCCGAGGAGCAGAACCTTGGAAGTAAGACCACCTAGCGTTGGACGCACCACACCGTATCCCATCGAAACAACCAGCACCAAAAGCCGAGCGATGGTCTTCTTGAGTGCACCGATTGTCACAGCCCATATAGTTATACCCATGGGCCTGCCGCCTCGGATGTTAAAGTTGGCGTAGTCGAAGTACCAGAAGGACATCTCGGTCATCCCAAGCCCAATGACAAGCGTGATCCAGTTTTGAAGCTGCAAGATATCCTTCCAGAACCTCGAGTATTGAAGAAACCATACCAGCCCGAGTGCCAAGTAAGCCAGTGACATGAACCCGTAGAACGTCATGAGAGCCACCATTCTTCCCGGCAGGTATCCGTGCGGGTTCTTCCACACGGTCTTGCCATCGATCATCAAGCCGTCGAGCTGAGGATCGCAGTAGACGAAGTAGAGAATGTACATGCCTGACTTTGTGATCTTGACTTCCTCCACTCCCATGGTGGTGGTGAGATCGTTGCCGCGGAAGAACACATTGATGGCTTTCGGAGATCCCGCGTTCTCGGGGTTGTGACGGAGTATCACCTCTCCCTGGTTGCAGCCAACGTCCCTGGCGAGATCTGGAGTGCAGCAAAGCGCGAGGTGACCACCGTACAGAGAACCCCCGAGCAAATCTCTGTCCGCAACGTCGAAAACCACAGCTTGGACCAGCCCAGATTTGTGCTCTGACGCTGCATGCTTGGCAGCGGCTTCTTCCGTGCGAGTGAAAGTCACCGAGTGATCAAACCTGGCACAAACAAAGGAAAAAAAAAGGAACGAAAGCACGATGTGAGTATGGACTAGAAAAAAAAACTCCAGGCTTCTTGGAGCTCAATAGTACCTGATGTAAGAACGACCGTTGCCAATCCCAGATCTATTAGCATTCGACGTGCTCGCATAGATTCCTTCGCTGCCGCCAAAGAAAATGTAGGCATTCCCTTGCCCGACAAAGTGTTCGTGCACGTATTCGTGGACGGACGCATCTGTGGACCAAATGCAAATGGCCACCACAGCCAGCGCCAGAATCCCGCCCATTCCTCGCAGCCCTAGCTGGAAATCCCCCATCCCTGGGCCGAGAACCGAAGATTACCTAGAATTCCAATGCAGATCCCGCTGGATCACGCCCGCATTGCGCGAGAATCCCCGGAATTTCGCGCAGATCTTGCCGATTCACGCCTGCATTGTCCCCAGGGCGCGACGATCCAGCGATAGACCTTGCCTGGAGCCTGCCGCTCGAGAATTCCTCACGGGAATTCTACCTGGACGACGCCGTGATCATACCGATGCGCTTGGCATGAACAAGAAAGAAAGAGGGCTGGAAGGAAACACCGACTGTTGTCCACCTAAAGCGTACGAAAGCGAGTGAGATTCGTGGCCAGTGGCCCAACATCGTTAGGTGACTGTACGAAAGGGGGTGTATGGTATATATCTGGGGCCCGATATCGAACCACCACCGGCTGGTGTGACATCACCGAGAACACATCTGGACTGTTGGATTTCAACGGCTTAGATCTCTTCCGGCCGAAGTTCCGTTAAAATCCTGTGTTTTACCGGTCCCGTTAAAAAACTCTGTTATGTGTGCGCGGGATTCTTAGGGTTTGGGCGCGGCTTAGCTGGAGCGATCGACTGATCGCTGAGGTTTCGATCGATCAAGAGCCGCATTCTAGGTATCTTGCAAGATTTCTCACGGCGATGGATGGAATCGAAGCTGTGTATGGATCTTCCCGCGGAGCTCTTCGAAATCTCACCAATCGGACGAGGCGGCCCGGCCCCCCGGGGGGCCCGACGTTCGATCCGTTTTTCTGGGAGGATAATCAGCATCGCGGAGGCGGGGCATGGGTTTCCAGGACGCCGGTGCGTTGGGATCGCGAGGGCGGCGGGATTCAAGAGATTTTTCCCGCCGGTCCGGTGGGATCTCCGCGAGAGGCCAGTCCTTCTGGCGTCCAGAACCTCATGCTCAATGCCAAGGACAAGGAGGCTTTGCTGGAAGAGTCGATCAGGCTGAAGCAAGCGATCCACTGCCAGGATTTCTTTCTTCGCCGGGACAAGGTCCACGTTTCAACTGTGGAGATTGAGAATCGGTAGCTACTTGGAGTTTGGATTTCTTATCTGGCTTTTCTGACGAATCGAGCTTCTATGACAGGAAGCTCGGGTTTGATATCAAAGATATGGAAACGCTAGGAAACATCAAGTCTCCACCCCGTGGAAGAAGCATACGTACCAGACTTAAAGGTAGAAGGAAAATCTAGCGTAGCTCGAGGTTTTTTTCTTTTCATAGAACTTGCAATGCTCCTTGTTCTCTTTTTTTTTCTCTCTTACGCAGGACTAAAGATAAGATACGAAGACATGCGAGCTGTGTGCGACGCGCAATTTGACGAGCTATCCACGATGCGAAGGGATTCACGGCCAACGGCGATTCAAGTAAGAACGAACTACTACTACTTCAGAACGTTTCAAACTAACCAGAGACATTAGGCTTGTCATAAAATCTCAGGAAATGGAGATGGACCGAGACGCGCTGCACTCTGAGATTTCCAGGTTGCACAGAGACGTTACCGGGTTGAAAGCAGTCCAAAACGCTCTCAAATGCGAGCAGAAAGGCTTGTTTTGCATCAAGGAGAAGGCAGACGAGCTGGAAGAAGTCAACCATACTTTGGAAAAATGCATGGACGTGAGTAAACCAGATTCGATCGACTAGGAACACTTCTGATATTCGTTCTATCAGGCCGTAAACAAGGAGCTTGCAAGAACAAGCCACGACATGGTTGTGTTCAACCAGAAAATGATCGAATCGGGCCTGGAGGCGAGAAGAAATGCAAAGAGATTCAAAGACTTGGAGGAACACACGGCAGCACTGAAGATCCTTATCGAGAGGGAGAAATCCGAGAGGATAGATCTGGACAAACAGCTGGTGGGATTGGAGCAGCAGGTCAAAAAGGCCGAGCAGGAGCTAGTTTGCAAAGCAACAACAAAGCCCAAGGACGAACCTCTCGCGAGCGCAGCGTCAAAGCAAGGAACCACCGCCGCCACTACTGCTACTGCCGCCAAAGGACTGAAGAAGGCTGCGAGCAAACCACCAACACCAACGCCGGGAAAGTTCGATCCGCCGCTCAAATCGAGCAAACCATCGACAGCTCCAGCTCCATCGAGATCCAGAGCCGCGACGACCAAAGCGAGCTCGATCAAGCCCGCTGCGTCAACCAAAGTTGCTGCTACTAGTACCACTGGAGTTTCCAAAAAGCAACGAACTTGACTATGTGTTAGAATGTGAGGTAAATAAGTAAAAGAAAAGGAACAAATTCTCATCTAAAGTGATTCACCTTCGAATCGTGTTTCTCTGGTCTCGTCTCGCTCCGCCGCTGTCCCTTCGACTGCTACCATCGCGGTGATCCAAATGTGACCACTCCGACTTGTAGCGGTCCCTGCGAACTGGAACTGGAGACCGGCTTCTCTCTCGATAGTCTCGTCCTCCTCCTCCCCAGCGAGGAGCATAAGGCGATGGCGGTCGTCTCTCGTCTCTAAAGCCTCCTGGGGGCGGCCCCCTGTTCTCGTGATAGTAGTCTCTTTCCCTCTCCCTGTGTCCACCACCATAAAAACTTCCTCCTCTATCGAAGCCTCCTGGTTTATCAAATCTCTCCCTGTCGAATCTTTCGTGCTCGTATCGATGGTCGAAGCCTTCTCGAGATCTCACGTCCCTGCCCGGATGGAAGTGCCTGTCCGGGAAGTGGTGCTCCGGGGGACCGAAGTCGTCGAAGGGTCTGCGCTCCCACATCGGTCCCGGCGGCCCGAATCCACCACCAATCGGTCTGTCCATGCCTACAGGCGGCGGTCCATCGAGGAACGGAGGTGGCAGTGGCCGAAAGTTTGGAGGATCCATCCGGAAGGGACTCATGTCTCTCCTGGGCCGGCTGCAGTTGTTACAAGCGGTCCTTCGAGCAAAGTTTAGATTTCCACAGCTGCAGGAAAGAGAGAGAAGCGTAAAGAACGAAACAGGAAAGCTTAACTCAGCGAGAGCTTACGTTGGTTCTGTGCATATCCAGTCGCCTTCTCTCGGAGCAACATTGGGATTGTTACGTCCAAAGCCGTCCGCACGGAAGTCGTCAGAAGGCCCCCGGCCTCGACCAAATCCTCCACCTCGTCCTGGTCCATCGTATCTCCGGCCTCTTCCTCTAAACGCCGCTCTAAAAGGGAAGTCACTGAACCTTCCTCTGCGAGGACTGAGGCTGGGACTGCGGCTTCGGCTTCCACTTTTCTTACGTGCCAGAGAGACTTGGATTTTGCTTCCTTTGTATTCATAGCCTGGTGATTGAAAGACATTAGTACAAAACCAACCACTGCCTACATATTCCATACGTACCATCGAACCATTTGATCAATCCCTTTGCAGCTTTTGGATCCTCCAGAACGACCTCGGCCTCGCAATCGCCACGATATGTCTTGAAAACTTTAATACCTTCTCGACCAACCTATTCAAAACGTTTCATCAGCTTTATTCACAGCAAAGAAAACTTCTACCTTCGGCTCTCCAGCTTCAGCGAGCAATTCCACCAGATTCTCCTCCATCACTCCGTCGGGAAGATTGGAGATGTGGATCATATCTGCAAAAGAACGAAGCGTTATATAGACTCACAAGCCTCCTCAAACAGAAGAATGCAACTTAGAAACACAAATCAGGCACTTACGTGGAGGAGAAATACAGGACTAATGCAACTTGAAGCGAGAGATCCATACTCACTGGCTTCTAAAATCCAGCTAAAGGCTACAAAAAATCCCACCCCTCCAGTAGATAGATTTCCCAGACCCTCCTCTACTCCCGAGCAAGCACACAAGACAACCCACTACTAAGCAGCCCCCGTAGAAACAGTCCTCTAAGCAATCTAAAGCGAAATTCTAGCCCAAACCTGCATCTTCCCGGAATCGATGCACCTCCCTCCTTTCAACCTCAGATCTCAGAGCACTGTTTAGCGGAGTAGACTCCGGCTGCTGAGATCCCTTTTCTCGATCCCATTCTCCTTCTTCTTGAGGCACTGCTGCTGCTACTTCTGCGGCTAATCCTTCCGGCTCCGCTGATGCCATACCTTCGTCCGGTGGCGCCGATCTGGCGAATTCTTCATCAGCTCCGCCGAGAGCGACGGCGCCATCGCCATCGCCTTCTCCTTCCATCCCACTCACAAACCCTAGGCTTCTTTATCCTTGTGTTTCCCGTTGGCTGGATAACTCGGGTTCGATTCCTGTTTTAAAGCATTAGGTCATGCCAAAATGGTTGCGGGTTCGATTCAGCACAACGCCAATGGAAGAAGAAGAGCGGCGATGCCGCTGCTCGCCATGGCGGCCTTTCTCATTCTCATCAGCGATGGCGCCTCCGCGGCGAGCGTCACGGCCGCGGAGGCGCTCCAGCTTCGTGACGAGGTAATTCGTGTGGAAATTTTGGATCTAGGCGATCGATCGCTCGTATTTTGCCCGCTTCCAGGTGAAAGAAATGTTCTACCACGCATACAATGGCTACATGGATCACGCATTTCCTCTAGACGAGCTCCGGCCGATGAGCTGCGTTGGAGAGGACTCTCTCGGTGGCTATGCACTGACTTTGGTAACGTAGTAGCGATATTTTGCGAGGGTTTTAGTAGTGAGTTTTTTGTTTGGTTTGTTTATTTCTTACAGGTTGATTCTCTGGACATGCTAGCCGTGCTGGGTGATCGAGAGAAATTCTTTGACGCTGTGAATTGGATTGGTAAACACTTACGATTCGACAAAGTACAGTAACTCTATAAAATGGCTGATGTTTTTTTCTTTTTCTTTGTTTCTCCTTTTTTTTTTTCACGAACGCCGCCAACTTGTTTCTTTATTTTGTAGAATAAGACTGTATCCGTGTTTGAGACTACGATTCGCGTGCTTGGAGGCCTTCTTTCTGCTCATATGCTTGTCAGTGACCAAGCCACGGTGAGAGAGCTCTTCCCTTAGTTTTGTTTCTCTTGCTTACTATCCTCACGACCACATTCAGGGAATGGTAATGTATGATTACAATGACGAGCTACTTAATCTTGCAGAAGACCTTGGTCGGAGGCTTCTTCCTGCTTTCGACACACCTACTGGTACGTGTTTTTCTTTCTTGTATCCGGAATTGCTGACAGCCTTTGTCCAGGAATACCTTACGGTTCTGTAAATCTTCTCTATGGAGTGAGCGAAGACGAAAGTCAGGTATTGACGCAATTGTCTGAGTGCTGCGGCTTAGTTTGGTAATGACAGGTAACATCAACAGCGGGTGGAGGAACTCTAACCATGGAATTCGGTGTTCTAAGTCGATTGACTGGCGACCCTGGTGATGTAGAATTTAATCCAGTTTTGGAAACTGACTTTGTCCGGCTGATTCAGTGTTTGAGGAAGTCTCTCGAAATGCAGTCCGTGGACTTTGGGCCCAACGTTCTCACATTGGTCTTGTTGGTGCTCATATTAATGTGCTTTCCGGAGAGTGGACACATAAAGTAAGCGTCTTTACTGCATTTCCACCTTTGTCGTTTAACCTGCTTTATACCAGGATTCCGGAATTGGAACGAGCATAGATTCGTTCTACGAATATCTTTTGAAGGTAAAGAATGGCTCTCTAATTTTCTCGGATATTGAATTGAGCCTGTTGCTCCTATGCATAGGCTTATTTGCTTTTTGGAGAAGATGAGTACCTGCATATGTTCAAAGAATCATACAAGGCAGTAATGCGCTACCTATTCAAAGATCCATGGTATTTTTTCTATTGTGTTGTTTTGATTTCTTTGAAATATCAACACTGCAGGTATATGGAGGTCAACATGAACAGCGCTGTTGTTGTTTGGCCTCTTTTCAATAGTTTGCAAGCGTTTTGGCCTGGACTACAGGTAAAGATGATGTGTTCCAATGTTTTAACATTTTGATTCCGATCGCCATAATCAGGTCTTGGCAGGAGATGTAGAACCCGCTACTCAAACTCACACAGCATTTTTCTCTGTGTGGAAGAAGTTTGGCTTCACCCCAGAAGGATTTAATCTTGCAAGCATGAGCATACAGGTTTGGTTTATTGTTCCTCATTTAGTTTCAACAGAAAAATGCTTTCTAACTGGATTCTTGCAGCCAGGTCAAAGGAGCTATCCTTTGCGGCCAGAATTAATTGAGAGCACGTACTGGCTTTACAAAGCGACCAGAGATCCAATGTACGGCATCGAAGTTTTGGAGAAACGTTTTGGTCTCTAATTCGAAGTTGGCCGACTAGTTACCTTGATGCAGGTCGCGATATTTTGGCCAGCATTCAGTATGGATGCCGCTGTCCATGCGGCTACTGCCATATTGCGGACGTTGAAACACACCAACAGGACGATCACATGGAAAGCTTTTTTCTCTCTGAAACTGTACGTAAAACTTTCAGATCTTTTCATTATTCATTTATGTAACCTGTTTCCTTCTATGTAGGTAAAATACTTGTACTTATTGTTTGATCTTGCTTTAGGCGGTGATAACATTGTAGAAAATGGACCTTACCCGTAAGTGTTGATCTAATTCTAACTCTTGGCCTGACAATGTGGCGGCTCCCGTCCAGGTACCTGTTTTCAACGGAAGGTCATTTGTTTCCTCTAACCCCGCAAATATCATTGCCAAAAGAGTGCTGCACGTATTCTGGAAGTTTTTGCCCAGACTCCTCGAAGTCGAACTGGATGCTACACAATGCAACGAATCACGTCGACGCTGGTAGTCCACTGAAGGTATTCCTCCTTCCATATTCTTAAAGTTGGAACGAGCGACTGTTCTTTGGCAAACAGGGAGCGTGTTCTCAGCTCAGTCTCTGGAGACGCCTCGCAATTGCGAACAAGTTTGCTAAGAAGACGAACAAGCGCAAATCGGCAAGGATGAGCAGTATACTGGAGGCGGTCGAGAAAGCTGGAAACGAGCTGGTAAATGTGGAGATTCAGACAGATGTAGCAGAGGCTTTGGAAGATGATCGCTCCACTCGGGAAGACAAAGGCCAGGAAATCGCCGCCGAAGAAACAAAAGAGAACGGGAACCTTTCAAGCGATTGAAATCACTGAAATCTTCCTAATAACAGAATCTAAACCCTTTTTTCGCAAAACTTATTGGATCGGAATATGACTTATACTTCGAGACACACAGACGGGTCATCAGATGCATACTCTACGACCCAACAAGTTAACAAGTTTCTAATCTCGACTCTATTTAAACAAAAGTTTTACCCTCACGCTTGGGCATGTGGGATAATCGTGGCTGCCCTAAAACTTGCCCTAGTCGAATTTAGGGCAAGTCTAATTGAATTGACACTAATGATGGGTTTCTCATAACTTTTTTGTGGAGCAACAAGAACACAAGGAACAACACAGAAATAGCTAATTCGCGAAAGATCAATCTAGGAAGAACACAAAAGAAATATATAGGAAGAGGAGAGTTGCTATCAAGCAGCCGCAAGCGCCGAGATGCTCATGGGCGTCACATACTCGGCGCCTCCATTGTACCATCTCTGCGCGGCGATGGTGTTGAATGCCTCGGTGGGATGGACCAGGTCCCAAAACATGTACTCCCCGCTGTTGGCGCAGTGGGGCGCGTTGGCGTAGCACCATTGCATCGAGTTGCCAGTGCCCGGGCAGCACCCCTGGTGCACGTTGCTCAGCCCCACGCTCGAAGGATCAGCGATCGCCTCCTCCATGATCGACGCCGCGTTCGCGTACACGGGCGTGAATCCCTGGTGCGCCTGCTGCATCGACTGCAGCATCGCCTGGAGCTGCGAGTTGAACTTCTGCGTCATCGACTTGCCCAGATCCGTGCACTTGTCGTTCACTTGCGTCGCGGGCACGCAGCCCACGTCCAGGATGCCCACCACCACGAATTTGCGCGCGCCCGCGTTGTACAGTCGCTGCGAGAGCACCCAGTGAGCGCGCCAGATTCGCGAGTTTAAAAATGTTTTTAGGGTTCTTGCTTGCTTGTGCTTACCTCCAGCTGCGTCTGGAACTGCGAGATGATCGACGCCGTCGACGAAATCGACATCATGTCATTGTTCCCAGTGCTTATGTAGTAGATCGAATTGGAGATCACGTCCGCGCTGAGACCCTTGGCCACCTGAGTGAACAAATCGACTTGATCCGGCAGCGTAAGAATCGATCCCTGCCAAGAAAACCACCAATGCTCCACTGCAATTGAGAAGATCACGATTGATTTGCATACCTGTCCGGTGCTGGTGAGGATTCCCGAGCTGGCAGAGCCGAAATTCATCCCCTGCGCAGCGGCCGATGCATCAGACGAATACGGTGGCGGATACGGCAGGCCCAGGTGCTCGGCGACCAGATCCACTGCGAGCTTTCCATCGCAAAACCTCCCGCTCGCCTCGTGCCCCGTCCACTTGAATCCATACGGCAAGTGATTGGCCTTGGCCGGAGTGTTGCGATTGTTGTTGTTCCCCGGATCCACGATGGAATCGCCAAACACAAACAATCCCTGGACTCCAGCGCTGGCGTTCTTGCATGGAGGACCCGGCGGCGGAGCCTGGGATGGCGAAGGAGCTGGAGATGGCGGCGGGTGGTGGTGGTGGTGGTGTCCAACTAGTCTACTCCCATGCCCGCGGTGGTGATGTCTACTCTTTCTGCCATTGTGTGCTTTCCTTGCATCGCAAAAACTAGAGAGACACAAAGCAATGAGAATCAAAACCACAAGCTTCTTCATCACCATCATCTTGCAACTACGATCAAATGAATTTTTTTTATAACCCAAAGTCTATCTATTTTATAAGCTTGGCTTCTACGGGGCAAAAATACACGATCATATCTTTTAAACTATGCCATTATTAATTAAAACCATTTGTACTTACACTTTGATAATTTGGTAATGGTGTGAGATTTGGAGCGGGGTTTCTTTGGAGAGTGATCGTTCTTCCGACCACAGCCCCAAGCTGCATTCCGCGCCGCCCCAATGCACAAGGCAAACACTTACTTCCTTGACGTTGAATCGGTTCACTACTGCGTAGCCTGATTCCTTGTCCACGAGCATCCACTCGCCTGGAAAAACAAGCAAATGGAACTCTAGAAACCATTCTCTCAGAAAAACTTGACGATTTCTACCGTTTGGTCTGTCGTCTCCGCGCAAGAACGTCTCTCCAAACGTGGCGCCGAGTTCTTTCTTGGCCCCGTTGACGGCCGTGAACTTGACAAGCGTTTCAGAGGGATGCGGCACCTGAAACGATGGCTGGACCCGAAGGCACACAATCCTGGTCCAAGAGAATCAAAATAATGTGAAGTGTATCGAGGTTTTGTTGCAGTACCTTGAGTATCCGCCAGCGCCAGCTCCAACAGATCTCGCTACAATCTGGGAGGTAATATGGACAACTTTCGGGGACTTCTTGTGAATGGCAATCTCTCTGGACATAACCAGTCCGCCACCAAGATCACACTCCATAGACAGGACGTCCTCCCCGTTTATCTCTAGGAGGCTCCGACTGGCAGCCACAGACGTGCAAGTTAGTGGCAGAACACAACAATGTCACCAACCTCAGAACATTGTATTCTTCGGTGCAACCAGGGCCGCGGTGTTCGCTAGTGCTGTATTCCTCGTAGCCGCCACCTTCTACCCGGCTTGGGAAAAAATCAATACCTGCGTTTCAACCATCAGTACCAAATCCCGGCCGAAAACACAGACAGACCTGTTTCCTTGTGGACCATTGAAATGATGCGACCACCAATCCAAGGTACCACCTTAAGCTGAAAGTCTGTGCCTGAGAGTTCAATTAAAACTCTAGGAGCACCAACACCCTTGAGCTTATCGTGTGTGACGTCGTATTCTGCCAAACCTTTCACTTTCGCTGCATTGTCAACTCATCAGCCAGACCAATTCAATATAAAAGCCATACATACCATTCTTCTCTTCGACTTGCTTGACCGCAGCTTCTACAAGCTTCCGCATTTCCTCGGAACCCGGCAGCTTCATCAACAGGTCATCTCCATCCTGGCCGTCAGCATTGATCTTCAAGATTTACGAAGAGGTTAGATAGGCAGGACATAGAAAAATTTGTGTAAGTACCTCAGCACGGTCGCCAATTAACAGACGAACACGAAGGGGTCGCTTTGGTCTCTTCAGAGCGCCTTGTACGGCTGCCACTTTGATCAACACTTCACTTCCGTTGCTCCTGCTCTTTGCTTCGTAATGCGTTAGTAAAAATTGTCCTTTCTGGTAACCAAAACTTTCTCCGTCGTCTTCGTAAAGTACACCCTCGGCATTACCTGCAGCTCTACGTCACCTTTTGGCAGCAAATGGAGCATTTCCTACCGTCTTTGTCGAGAGCAATAATAAGTGTTACTGGGTCCTCAAAGTGCGCTTCGCCTAGGTGCTCAATTCGGGGACCAGCAGGTATGATGGAACCACCTCTCAAATGGAGAAGTGAAAGGTCCTGCGAATCCACGTAAAAATCAAAAGAAAAAAATATATTCTGATTTACAGGATGATAGTCATCAAAATCAAAGCGCTGCCATATCCCAGAAGGAAGAACAATTGTCTTTGGATCGACAACCTTGTCTGGATCGGTACTGTAGTAAATAAAAGTCAAACGCGTGGCGAGAAAAAGCAAAAGTCAGCTATACCTTGCGGACACTAGCAGAGAACCTAGCAGAAAGCTTGTCTCGACTTTCCGTAGCTTTGGATCTTTGCAATCTAGAACAGAAATAAAACGGTTACAAGCATTGACAATATTATTACCATAAACAAAGGACAAACCAGCAAAAAAAATTGGAGTCATCACTGGTAGTCCCTTAGTATGTGCAAAGTATACCAACGTGTATAAATGAGGCAGCAGCTGGTATCTTCGTAGCAAGGCAAGACGGCAGACATTCTTACACTAAAACAAAACAGTAATATGATTCTATGAGCAGTAACGTATCTCCGGCATTTACCTCATCACCAAACGACCACGGTTCGTGATCAACCGTCCCTTTCTCAGAATGTCCTCGAGCAAATGGAAACAGTGCCCCGAATCCCATCCATCTACCAAAAAGTCTAGCAGTTGCATCGCCCGCAAAACCTCCGATATCAGGTCCAGTTAGTGGTGATCCACTCAGGCTCTGTGAAGCAAAAAAGTTAGCCACAGCAGACGAACAAAAATTCATGTACCAGATTGAGGGCCATTGCTATACTCATATGTGCGTGATCCCAGTTGGATGAATTGTCGCCTGTCCATGTAGCAGCATATCTCTGGCTTCCCATGAAGCCCGCTCGAGTAAGAACGAATGGCCGCTTAGTGGGGTTTGCAAGCAGCATTCCTTCGTACGTCGCTCTGGCCATCAGCATCCCATACACCTGAAAATTCAAAGACCAATCAGCAGAATGCTTGCAAAGAGTTTCATACGTTGTGATAGTGACGGTGATTTTGTGTCCCTCCGATTTCTGGATCTCCACTGTGCATATTATCTTCAGGCATTGTTTTCGACACTGACTGCATTAGTTTACTTAAGTTTTAAACTTGAACTCATTTTTTAAATACATTTGTACCTTGAAAACAGCGGGCTCGTTCATATCATTCCATATGCCATCGACTCCGTTAGAAACGAAGTCTTTTATCAGGTTACTCCACCATGCACGGACTTTCTTTTGGGTATAATCCGGAAAAACGCAAGGTCCAGGCCAGACATCACCTGAAGGCAGCTTGCGTTTATAAGAGAGAACCAAATTACAGCAAAATGAGCTTACCAACAAAATGCTTTCCACTTGCATCCACAACCCATGCATCTTCAGAACACCCCTCATTGTATATGAAATAATCTTCATCCTTCTTAATCCCCGGGTCAATCATCCAGACAGCTTTGAATCCCCTCCCACGCAAAGTCGTTGCAAGACCAATAGGATCCGGGAACTTTTCCTGAAACAGTAACGAAAAATGGACGAGTTAAGCACATCACGGTAACGTCTCGCATTACTTTGTCAAATGTGAAGCAACGAAATCCGTTCATGTAGTCGATATCCATCCAAACAACGTCAGCAGGTATTCTGTGCTCGCGAAAAAGCCTGGAGATCTAATATAAAGAACTTGTCAATTGCCACGTGAAAACTAGAAACGCAACCTCGTCAACTCTCGACGCTGGCTCGTAGCTATAGCGGCATTGGTGATATCCCAGGGCCCACTTCGGAGGCATATTCATGGTCCCTTTGAGATAATACATTACATCAGCACCACCAAGAACTAAGTAAAAAAGCTTACCAGTAGCGTTTGCCAGTGCCACCAGTAGATCTTCTGGTGCCGGATACGGTCCGAATACGATAACTGGATAGAAGCAATCGGCAGCAAATCGAATCGTTGATTCCTTGCGAAGATCCACCTACAGGAAGCACAATGGATCATCTTCGTCATTAATTTCTAGATCGCTTACTTCACACTTTCGGGTAGTGTCGGCCAGTACCCCCAGTACTTCGCCACTGGGAAGGACAACGAAGACCCAAGGGTGTGACTGATAAAGGCAGGGGCTGTTCTTTCCGTAGCCCCAAGAGTCGGTGTTCCACGTATACATCTGCAAAACGCAAGTAAAAACTTAGTTTCTTCACTTAAGTCTAATCCAACTTACTCTTTTTCCTGTTCGCTCTAGAGGCCCGCTGACTTCTCCCGTTCCATAGAACGAAGCTCCCGAAGGAAGCTGGAAATTTAGAGTGAGAGCTTTCAAAAGATAGAATCCACAGGATATCATACCGCTAGGATTACTGTCTGGGTGGAATCGTCGTCCAGGCTAAAGAGAGGAACAAAGAGCGGCTTGACAGTCGATTCCAAGCGCTTTTCCCGCCTCTCGGCCGGCACAAACGAAAGAGAAGGGAAGCACTTCGCGCGACTCTCCTCGTCGCAATCGAAGCGGAGTATTTTGGCCTCTAGAACAGCCATGCAACCCATCTTCGATGCCGCCATAGCTCCGACCTTAATGCTGCTCGAGATCTGGGATCGATCGCATGAGAGAAGAGGAGAAGAAATGCCGAGAATGCCGCACCTTTTTAAACGGGAAGCACGACATAGGCTCCACGCGCAGCGCCTCGCCAAGCGTTACACGCTGCCGACGCTCGCGACAAGCGATGGATAAAACAGCCGCGAGCAGAGGATCGGGAGGAGGAGCGCAAGGAAACGCATCGATCGGCTGCAGCGCAGCTGGAACAAGCAAGCATTCGATGAAAATCCCTGCATTGAAGAGCTTCTCCCTACCGGATGCGCCAGCGCCAGCGCCACTCGCTCGCTGCTCGCTCGCGCTAACCTAAAACCGTTTAGCTTCTTTAGGGCGAATCACGAGACTCAAGTAGCAATCACTTTGTTTGTTCACCAACGCGAATGCCGTAAATATGCCATGGCATCATAAAGATGCCATGCCACGTCATAAAGCGTCACCAGGAGAACTGGACAAGTCAGCGTAGGACACGTCATTGATTTAGGTCTTTGCTCTTGCTCCATCGGCAATGGCTATGGCGACATTCGCAGCGGGATGCTTCTGGAGCGTGGAGCTCGCATTTCAGCGCATTCCCGGCGTGATCAAGGTGCGTGATCTGTGATTTCTCTCCTTTAGTGTCTCGATCGATCGATCGATCAATCGGTGATCGATTGCGGCGGATTTTCCGAGAGGGAGTGATTGTGTTCGCATTCCTTGTGTAGACGACCGTCGGGTACACGCAAGGAAGCAAGGAATCTCCCACATACCACGACGTTTGCACTGGCAGGACCGGCCACGCCGAAGCCGTGCTCGTCGAGTATGATCCAAAGGAGGTCTCGTACACAGCGCTGCTGGACGCGTTCTGGAAGAAGCACGATCCAACACAGGCCGATGGCCAGGTAAAAGTTTTAGAGACAGCGATTGATCGATCCACGCTCTCTTTTCACTTTTTCTTTTCGTCTTTTCACAGGGAAATGACTTAGGATCCCAGTACCGATCCGGCATATACTTCCACACACCCGAGCAAGAGAAGCTCGCAAAGCAATCTCTCGAGCAAGAGCAGCAACGACTCGGCAAGAAAATCGTGACCGAGCTTCTTCCGGCCACAACCTTCTACCCCGCCGAGGATTACCACCAGCAGTATCTCGAGAAAGGCGGGCGAGGTGGGCGCAAGCAATCGGCTGCCAAGGGCTGCACGGATCCCATCAGATGCTACGGCTGAGTCAAACGAGATCGCGAAACACACTACGAAAAAGAGGTAACGAACAACGCTGTGTGTAAACGATTTCATGCTTATCCGCCTGTCAACTCTCGTTGCAGGGAAAGTCCAAATAAGCAGCGCTCTTGTGGCTCGCTCTGGGTGGTGTGAAAATAAAAACGTTCTTTCTTCATCATCTTGTGTCGATCGTCAGGGGGGCCACCAATATGAGATCTAGCACGCTACGCAAGAAAAACAAGTAAAAACAAAGAAAGCAGCGCCCCCCCCTTGAACAATCCGATCACTACAAGTAAGCATCGATCATCGACTCAACTCCTAAGTTTCTCTAAACTCTAAGCGACGACCCCCCCCTCTTCTCGCTGTCCCTCTCGATCGACTGACCTGTGGAGTGGTGGTGTGTCACTTACAGTTGCAGCGGACGGGCGTACACTTCTTGCAGCGCGAGAAGCATCCCAGGAAGGACTTGGTTCGCTCCGAGGGCCAGTGCCAAGTGTTGTAAGACATGGCCTTGCTGGACGAATCGTCGAGCTGCTCCAACGTGTTGACGATCTCTGGGAAGCCGGGCCTCTTGTCCGGATTAGCGGACCAGCATCTTCGCATCAGCGCGGCCAGTGCGCTTGGACAGTTCTCGGGCACCTCGGGCCGCGCGTCCTAGATAAAAGGCAAAGAAACTTCGATCAGGGCTGGAAGGAAGAAGACGATGACGACGACTTCGAAGAACAAAAAAGAAGCAAAGAAAAAAAGGCGAGAGCTACACACCTTGTGAAGAACAGCGTACGCGACTTGCACGGCTTGCATTTCTTGGAAGGGGACTTGGCCGGTGACGAGCTCCCACAGGACGATGCCGAAGCTGTAAACGTCGACTTTGGTGGAGCACTTGTTCTTGCCGCTGATCATCTCGGGCGCCATCCAGCGGTACGTGCCCACGTCCGCCTTGCCGACGCTGGGGGCGTCCGCCTCGCACCGCGCGACGCCAAAGTCCGTGATCTTGACGCACATATCGCTGTCCAGGACGAGGTTCTCCGACTTAAGATCGCCGTGGATGACGCGCTGCGAGTGGATGTACTCCATCCCCCGCGCGATGTCCATGGCCATGCCCAGCGTCACCTTGAGTGGCAGCGAGCTGGGCTCGTTCTTGTGGAGGAATCCGCGCAGCGAGCCGCCCGCGAGGTACTCGGTCACGACGCAGTACACGGGTGGCTTCTTGCAAGCCGCGACGAACTGCAATGCAAAAGAACGAAGAAAGTGAGCGAGCGTTCGCGCAAAGTTGTCACGACCAAAATGCTGCTAGATCATCTTCTTTTCTTCGGGAGAGAAGAAAAGAAGCCATGAATTCTCAGAGAGAGAAAGAAGCCACGAATCTCAGCCATGCCACTCGATCGAAAAGGTAAAGAAAATGCCGACAAGCACGAATTCTCGATCAAGAACGCGAGGAGGGGCCAGAGATTTAAGAGAAACGCTCGTCAAGATCAATCGAAAAGGAAAAAGGAGAAGGAATCGACCTGGACGATGTTACGGTGATGGAGACGCGAGAGCAGCGAGACCTCATGCGCGAATTGCCTATCCACCATCCGGGACACCTCCTCGTCCTCTTCCGGCTGCCTCATCACCTTGACAGCCACGGCCTTGCCTTTGTAGATCCCGTGATAGAGCCGGCTGTGCGCTCCCGACGCGAATTTGTGGCCCAGGAACAGCTGCGTCATGTCCACTACCCATTCCTCCGATCGCTCTACCGCCTTGACCTCGCCAATCCCTTCCAGGTACTGCGACCACGATTCCACGCGCTTGGGGACGAGAGCTCTCCCTGGTGCGTTCCCGTGGACGAATTCCTCCACGGTTCTCGCGGGCGATGCGAAGGGGGAGCTCCTGTTGCTGGAGGGGAGAGAGTAATCCGACGAGGAATCGATGAACAGCCGCTTCTTGGATATTTCGAGCGGGATTTCTTCGTGAGACCTGGAGCGCAGCGGCGGCTTACCGATCTTTTGATGCGGGAAGCAAAGATCGGGGATATTTCGAGCGTCGATCCGGTGGCAGACGGAGCGGGAGAAGCTGCAGCGGCCGAGCCATGCCGATTCCGAGGGATTCTCGCGCGCCATCGCCAGAAAAGAATGGAGGAGAAGACGAAGAAGAGGAAAGAAAAGAATCCAACTGCAAGAACACGACAGAGGAGTATTCCAATCCCCCTCTCTCACACCGCGCCCTCGCCTTCCTGATCATCCATGTCAATCAGCCTCAAACACATCGTCGCTGAGAGAGAGCCCCATTCCTCCTCCTCGTCCAAGAGCCCTAAACTCCTCGCTCGCGCTCATATAGATCTCCGCCGTCGCTTGCGCGTATCTCACGGCCAGTGTGGGCCCGCGCGCCGTCACCGTCGGATGCCCGGCACCAACTGCTGGGATTCCTCCCCTACAAGATCATGTCATGCACGAACCACGCACTAAAAAATCACCGTTATTTTTTAATACTCCGCTAAACTTTCCTTGCAATAGCCGCGAGCAAGTTGAGCCTTCAAAGATAAGAGAGGAAACATTGCAACTTGTATGTAAAAGTTGTTTTGGTTGCAACTTGGCTGATCTCACAAAGAAATCCTCCTGGGCATTTGTCGTTGACTTGTTAGGGCTAGTGTTTGATCACGGGCGCCCGCTGCTGGGCTTGTGCCGGGGGAGTCAAATCTTTCCTGCCCGGGTTTCTTGGATGGATTTCAATGGCATGGAGAAAATATGGAACTCGTGAAATCGCATCTAGCGGGATCGCCTTGGACTAAATTAATCTCGTGTATTCTTTTGTGAGAGAGTCAGTCCAGTACGGGGATGTACACGTACGGGTGGGCACGGCTAGTGACAGAGATGGATGGATGGATGGAGACCACGCTCTTTTTCTCTTTCGGCCCTAGGGAGGAAAAAATGTGGCGCATCAAGAAGGTGGCGAGTGGTGGTCCATTCCAACACCTTTTGGGGTGCATTGGATATTTCCTGGCATATGCAGGGTTGAATTGCATGGAGCTTGATTTGTTGGAATAATCAAAATATTATTCCTATTTTAATGAATATTTTTTTAGTTAGTTTTATTTTTGGATCTATAATCTTTGTTTGGATATTAGCTACAAATTTGATAATTTAGAATTTAAAATTTTTCAAACCAAAACAATAATCAAGCTGTTGTTCACCAATCAAAATCATAATGAAGTGGCAATTATATATTTACGCCAAGAAAACTGTGTTTTGAATGTTAGATATCTTCATCTCCAGCAGAAACTTTAATTTTCTTATTTTGATTTTTACCAAAATAATAACACATTGCTATATTATGATTTATATAATTCACAAAATAATTATCGTTATGAGTTTTGCCATCTAGCACCTCATAATGCTATTATGTTCCATTAATTTGATATTTAAATGTATTAAATTTTAAATTATAATAACATTAAGCTATTAAATGACTATCTAAACTGCAAAGTGTCTTTATAGAAACTAAATTTATTAAATAATATTATTTTTAAAATTTATAATATTAAATTATAATTATTAGTTATTATTTGTATGATAATTTTTAATAAATACTTGGATGATAAATTATAGAATTAATTTAAGAGAGACTTATGGTGAAGGAAAATTGATTCCAAATGATTTCTTTATTAATTTCTGAGACTGTTGAAGTTCCTAAAATTTATGTATTATTGTTTGCTAATTATTTCAAAGATATATAAATATAGTAACTATTTATCCCAAAGACATTTATAAACCATATTTTAAATAATTAAGGTAATAAATTTAATATTTTAAAGCATATTCACTATTGTAATTTTCTATTTATTATGAGTAACATATTTTTAGTAAGTAGCTTAGCCTTGCTAGGTTTTGTCTAATTCAGATATTCTCTTTTATGTAAAATATATTTTTGTTGTTTAATATTAAAACGAAGAAACTTTTTGAGTATTCACGTGATTATTGTAAAGGTTGGCTAGTTTCCTATATGTTTTATATGATTTATATGTTTACATTTTGGAAGCTAGAAGAGAATGCAGTGAAGGTATGAGAAAGAGCCCCTCAGGTGGGAACATTATCCTATAACAAATTTGAATGTCATTATCCTCGCTTGTGCTCACGACGTTGTGTGTGAATATGAGTTCGGCACCAGCTGGTGCTCTGTTATAAGTCGCCGATGGATTTAGCCTTGCTAGTAAAAATCGGGCCTGGGACTCCACAAGAAACATTGAATCCACCAAAAGCCACAAACAGTTTTACCCGGGAACATACACTACAAGATGGAGGCAATTCCGATCCTGGTGGAGTGCTCATGGAAGACGACACCAGGGACGGTTGAATCATTAAAAAGAAAGTTTTGTCAGTGTTTCTCGCATTCCGAAGTGTGCAGTCTCGTTGATAAACACCTGGAAAACAGCACATTGAGACACATGAAAACAAGTGGGGCAACGAACTTTGCTCAGACGGATCGTCTTTCCACCAATTCTAGGGCAAGTAGTCCGCTCCGAGAATCTTTGCGAGCTTGAAATCGTTGATGGCTTTGCACGCTCTAGCCAGCTCGAAAATGTTTTTGAGTAAATGAACCTAAAGGCTTTATGTATAGATCCGGTCAACAAACATTTGACCATCGTCTTGACTAGCGAGACATTGACTGCTCAATGTTTGGATGGATTTTTTTTGCACTTTCACGTTTTTTGCCTCACTCTTCTACCATTCACGTCGCCACCGTCGGAGAGTTGGCCCCAAATGTAGCCACCTTTACCACCACTTCCCACGAATAAATCTTTCCCTACTCCAGCTACAGTCTTGAGCAGATCAAACAGCAGCACTGGACAGCTCTCGCGGAGATAGTCGTATCCCTCGGATTGCATCACGGCTGGAAGCGCGAGTAAGAGATTTAGAAACAATCGGTCGATGAAAAGAGACTAGAAACTTACCCGAGAGATTGTCCGCGGCGTACTTCAGGCACACTCCTTTGAGCTGGGAAGCGTGGTGGAGCTCCGCGAGAGCCAGCGTTGTCGCCACTGTGTCCACGCTCACGGTCTCGCAGAGCTTGGCCTCGCACAGGAGTCTCAAGCGATCTAGTCCGTATCTATCGGCGGCTGCTAGCAAGTGCTGGTAGAGGAGAGTCGGGGACGAGGAGGACGAAACTCCCGAGAGCTCGGCCGTGTCAGGAAGAGCGTCCGTGTACATGAACTGTAGCATTGCCTGCAACAATATCGCAACTCATTCAGTCTAGCTTAGCATCGATCGTCAAGAACGAAAAGAAAGAAATAAAGCGTGACTTGCGTACCTTAAAGACTGGAGCTAAAATGTCTTCTACTCGTAGAACATCACTGGTGCGCTCCCGGAGGGGCCCCATAAGCTGCGCCTTGAAAACAGGAGATCGGGCCGCAAGCACAAGCTTGTGAGCCTTGAACGTCTCCCCGTCCGCGTCAAAGGTGAGATCGGCGCCCTCTCCGCTCTCGAAAAGAGCTCCAAAGTGCTTACCAATATCCTGCTCCGGTGGCTGGATAGAATAGATCTTTGTGACTTGTGTCCACGACATGACGACGCCAACGGTACACGTTATGTCAAGGCTGTCGTTGTTCAAATAGTCCGACATCTCCAGCGCCTCTCGCCTAAAGAAACGCTTGTATCCCCTGGAACAGTACGAGAATATAAGAAGGAAATTAAACAAATGTGGAAGATCAATTAGGAACATCACTGAGTAAACAACTCGAGAAAGCGCGAGAACAAACACAAACACGCAGGATCGAAAAAAAGGAAGCTTTTGACACCTCTGTACCATACGAATCCAGAAAGGAAGAACAAAACCTCTATACAAACAGTCACCATCCACGAAAATGATTAAAGAATCTTCACGAGCTACAAACTCTAGAAACAAACACAAAGCAGAAGTATAAAACTCTCCCAACCAACACAAAGAAACAAAGAACACAAAGAAAGAACCAAGAAATCTTAAACAAGCCCACCAAGAAAGAGTAGAGAAAACTTCTACGTACCACATGCTGCCGCGGTACTTCAAAGTGTAGGGACCTCCCTCTAAAGATCGATCAAAATGGCTGTGGACTTTGTGCTTGCCTTTCCCACTTTGATCCACCAGCGTGAGCTCAAACAGCGCCCGGACGTCGGTGCCGTCGCTGGCGAGCGCGATGAACACCGAGACGTAAAGAGAATTGTCCTCGGCGTTCTTCCCATCTGGATAGAAGTAAATCGCCCACTGGTAGCCGCCGACCGTGAAAGTGTTGCTGGCTATATACTTCCCAACGCCCATGCCTTTGGCCAGCGAATATCCGTTGATCGTAAAATGATGCGACCCATTCTTCGTCTCCGTCACACTACGCGATCTCGAGGGCGTGCTGCTCACAACACCTTCCTGCTGTAATGCCACTGCTGGAGCCCGTGCCATGGAAATCCAAGCTCATTCTTCCTCCTCCAGCCTCATCGAGATTGATGATTCGCGACGGCGACGGCGACGACGAAGAAGTGGAAGAAATCCGAGGAACTCCGCGGAAATATCCTAGGTTACCTTCGGCCGCGGTAGAAGCGAGCGAAATCGCGGCCCCAGCTGCGAGAATCACCGACGGATCTTGCGATTTTCCGCGGTGCACGGCGCCGATCCGTCCAATCCCTGGCAAATGCCGACCGGCGACTCCCGTGGCGTGGGTCAGGAATGCGAGTTTCTTTGCGCGGCCGCCATAGCCCTATTTGATTCCGGTCGCCATAGCCGTGCTCATGGATGCATGACCGTGATGATCCACCGTCGATTCGCTGATACGGACGGTTTAGATTCGAAAGGAATTTGCTTGCATTATTTCTTGTACGACTTATAGGTACGGACGTTTTAGGGCTCTCTTTGTGCCGCACTCTTTTGTTTGTTCGACCTGTGCGTCTTGCGGCGGTCGCCGCATTCTTTCTCTACCGATTCTCCGCACGGCGCGATCGATCCAATCGCTAGGTCCGAGGAATCGAGCAATCCAATCGAGGGATCGAGCGAAGATTATGAGGGCGTGGCTACATTCCCAGGGCAAAGATTGGTGAGTAGCGGAGCATGCTACCATGGGGCGGCATCACAATGTGCCTGAGCGGTGTGGCGCTCTATTTTCTCAGCCGCAACAGCGGCAGGTACCTTCGATCTTTCTTCTCATCGATCGATTCGCGATTCATAGGTTTCCATTTTTTGTTCTCCTTACAGAGACGCTGCCACGCTGAAAGCGGTCAGAAGGGTCGATCAATTGAAAGACTTAGGTCTGTAGTCTGGATTTCGTCACGACACTTTCTTTGCTTATGGAAAATTTGGTTGTTTTGGCAGCACATTTGCTCGACTCGGCTTGCAAAGCTGTGCCGCTGGTCGTCACTGTCGCGGGTCGTGTTGGCTCGGAGACGCCGATCGGCTGCGACCATAGCAGCTTGAGGTGTGTCATTTTGGAAGAAACGGTGGGTGCTCCGATTTAATTCTTTTACTTTCCCGTGGATCGGTTCAGAAGCATTGAGAGTGCGTCGTTGCATTAGGCAGAGCAGCATTTTTTGAAGCACAATGACACCGGCTCCTGGATTCAAGACTCGGCTCTCATGCTTTCAAACAACAAGGAGGTTCCTTGGTTCTTGGTGAGTGTTTTTTTCCTTGTCTTAAACTATTTTTCCTGCAGGTTACACCTTGTCGAGCGTCTCACGTTTTAATTGCAGGAGGATGCCAGTGGCCGAGTCTTCATTGTTGGAGCACGGGGAGCTGCTGGCCTGGAACTCACGATCGCTAGTGAGGTTTTTGAAGAGTCCGGTCGGTCCCTCGTTCGGGGAACTTTGGATTATCTGCAAGGTCTCAAGGTGCCTCGTGCTTTTCGATTTTCTTTCCCGATTGTTTTTTTCACTTGCTACGCTCTGTCAGATGCTCGGAGTGAAGCGTGTGGAGAGGGTTCTACCGACTGGAACTGCTCTTACAGTTGTTGGAGAAGTAAGTACTCATGGTAGCCTTAATGGTTTTCTTCAATACAACTTTTAGGCAATCAAAGACGATCAAGGAACGCTGAGAATCCAGAGGCCACATAAAGGACCATTTTACGTTACTCCAAAAAGCATCGATCAGCTGATCGCGAATCTGGGAAAGTGGTCAAGGTGAGTGTGTGCCATCGTTTGGCAATGTATGAGATTTACAGATGTGTTTTGCAGATGGTACAAGTACATGTCTTTGGGCTTCACTTTATTCGGTGTTTTCCTTGTGGCCTCACATACCATCAGATATGTCATGGAGAAGCGGAGAAGAGCGGCCTTGAACAGAAGGTATTCCTCTAAACTCACAACCTTTCTCGCTTGCCGGACTAACAAAATTAGTTTCTTGCCAGAGTAATGGAAGCTGCTGCACGAAGGCGTGAACGGAAAGAGCACGAAGGCAAAGCCCGTCCTCTATTTTGTTTTTTTCTTTTTCTTTGCACTGATTCGTTTGCTTTCTTGTCTGTTATCAGAAGTTGGCGAGTTTGCCAAGGTGGAAACCGCAACAAAACGAGACGGGCGCCTACCCGACCTATGCGTGATTTGTCTGGAGCAAGAATACAACGCTGTCTTTGTCCCGTAAGTTCTGTCGCACCTAAAGATCTTTTTTTTTTTTTTTTGCTTTCTCTTCTCTCAAACGGGGGAAAGTGAAGTTTTCTTGGAAGAACTTGTGACTGATTCGCGTGTCCTGGATTGTTCGCAGATGCGGTCACATGTGTTGTTGCATATCCTGCTCCGCTCAGCTGCAAAATTGCCCATTGTGTCGGCGTCGGATCGAGCAGATTGTGAAGACTTACAGGCATTAGAGTTTGGTGCGCTCGAACGCGAAAGAAGAACGGAAACGAAGGCGAAAAAAAACGAGTTTTTTCTATGGTTTGATTTGGAGCTTTTGTGTACATACAAACGCCAGTTTGGTTTGAATGTGGAGCGTAAGATTCACGTGTGTGATCCGACGGCCCACATCGAGCTTCCGCACCCCTCCACGCGCTGCGGTACAGTGTACGGCTAGTGGACACGTCAGTGGCGGCGAATATTCGCGTGAGATATACCGCGAGAGAAGACTACCCTATACGATGGCGCTCTTCCTGGAAGGAGAGGCTGTTCGTCGAGTGACGAGGAGGACGACGAGCTGGCGATGCGCCATCGCCGCGGCGAGATTTCGTGAGTAGCGGGGATTTTCGATGGATCTTGGTTGAATCCGTGGAATGCAGGCGCGAGTGAGGGCCAGGGAATCGCAGGTCGAGTTCCTGGCGATGGAGACGAGCAGTCAGGGGATTCCAGCTCCTCCGGAGGATTTTCGGTGCCCGATATCGCTGGAGGTGATGGCCGAGCCGGTGATCTTGTGGACGGGGCAGACGTATGATCGGCAGTCGATCCAGCGATGGCTCGACTCCGGCCACACGACGTGCCCCAAGACGAAGCAGGAGCTCCACGACGACACACGCCTCATTCCCAACTACGCGCTGCGGAGCTTGATCCAGAGCTGGGCGGCGGCGAATTCGGTGGAGCTCGCCAGTGGCGGCGGCGGGGGTGGCGGCGGTAGCAAGAGCAAGAAGAGCAGCATTTGCAGCAGCGATTCCTCCTCCAATCGCGCAAGGAAGGAGGCCGTGGAGGCGCTGGTCAGGGGGATCCTGGCCGCCAATCCCGCGTCCTTGATCCGGGACTCGGTCCGCGAGCTCCGGATTCTGGCCAAGGAGAGCAGGACCCAGCGCGCGATGATCTGCGAGGCCGGCGGCGTCGCCAAGCTCCTCGACCTCCTCCTCGGCAAATCCCGGCCAGCCTTTCCCGACCTCCAGAACGAGATTGAGGAGAACGCGGTGGTGGCGCTCCTCAATCTCTGCGCCGACGACGAGAACAAGGTCGGCCTCGTCGCCGAGGGCGCGGTGGACGCCATCCTCCACATCCTCTCGCGCCACCACCACCAGGCATCCATCGACACCAGGGCCAGCGCCGCGCTCGCAATCACCAGCCTCGCCATGGTGGACGTGAACAAGGCTATCATTGGGCGGCACCCGGGCGCAATGCCGGGCCTGGTCCGGCTGCTTAGCTCGGGCAGTCCGCGCGGTAAGAAGGACGCGGCCATCGCGCTCTACAGCCTGTGCATGCTGCCCGACAACCGGCGCCGCGCGGTATCCGCCGGCGTCGTGTCCGTGCTGCTGACGGCAGTCGAGAGCGACGCGCGGTACTGCGCGGCACACCTTGCGGCACCGCCCGAGGGCGAGGCCGTGCTGGCGCTGCTCGACGTGCTTGCCACGTGTCCGGAAGGGAGGGCGGAGATGAGGCTCCGGCGGGGCGTGGTGCCCGCGTTGGTGAGGGTGATAGGCGCCGCTGGTGACTCGGCGGTACCACTGAGGGCGCGGGAGAGCTGCGCCGCCGTGCTGTATGCCGTGTGCTGCGAGGACGCTACGTGGACGGCCATTGCGCGCGACGCCGGGGCCGCCGCGGTGGCGGGGGAGATGGCGCGCGGACTGAATGGGGAGTGCCGCGCGGCGCGAAAGGCCGCCAGCCTCGTCCAGCTGCTCAGTGCATAGTGAGCGATCTTCTTCCTCCTATCTTAGTCATAGCTAAATTATTTTTGTTGTAACACCATAACTTCTCTTGTTATATAGCCAATGTATGTTGTAAAATGGCCAAAGATCTTGTTTACTCCTGTTTCTTTCGTCTTGGAAGATTTGGATTATCAATCGCCACCGCCCCGGATGGTAGTGTTCTTGACAATCTGGAGAAAAGAATTACACGTCAATACGTATCTATTGTCGACAAGAAATCTAGTCATGCAAAAACATTGGCATCCGAAGAAGAAGAAGAGATTGCGTAGCGTACCTGTCGGAGCATGTAGTTTTCTCTTTGAAGCGTCGCGTTTTTCTCCTCCAGCTCAGCGTTTCTAGTTTCCAGATCCTTGGCCTTTTGCTCCAGCTCGACCAAGTAAGCCTTTTTGCGCTCTCGGGCCTGTTGTGCCGACACGCGATTCCTCAGCAACCTGTTCAAACCACCAGAAAAAAAAGAAAAAAAAAAAGAGATATTTTTCTTAATATGGACATTTCTGGAACTTCTAAAAAGGAAAATTACCTCTTTAGTCGCTTGCCTTCCTTGTCATTGGAAGAGCCTCCGGATCGCCTTCTCGACGACGAGCTTCCACCGACAAGCTTCTGAGAGCGACCTTTGCTGCTCTTCTCTGGCAGCTCGGGCACTCGTCTGATGTCCGAGTCGCTATCGTTGCCTTCGTCTGCAATATTCAATCGATCGCGAGTAAACAAGCGAGCAACAGGAGAAAGAAAACGAAAGACCAACAGTCACGCACCGTCTTTCTTCATATCCGATGAGCCGGAGATGTTCGAAACAGAGGGCCTGTCTGATCCATGCCTCGATGACGAATTCGTCCTGTTGGACTCGCTCGTCCAATTCCAGGTGATGCTGTTGGTGGCGCTGTTTGGTGGCTCCAAAGGTTGGATTTTTCCGTCGATGACGGGCTTCCAAGCCCCTGCAAACGACTTGCAGCCGAAATTCGCAATGCTGGCCGCCGCCTGGCTCTCGTATCCAACAGACTCGATATCACACTCAGCTGAAGAAACCAAAACACGGAAGAAGAGCTCTCATCAGGATCAAGAAACGAATAAAAAAATCTAAACTTCTACTCACCTTTGAGGCTGCTCAAATCATCCACGACCTCGGCATTCTCCGCTGCTTCACCGCCAATCGAGCCTTTCTTCCGCGACAAATTCTCCACCCTGCCGGGATTGAAACTCGCAACCGGCCTCTTCACCGCGGACGCCGATCGCATGACTGAATAGATACTCCTCACACCCCCGAGTCACCGCATTGCGATGGAACCAAAATTCACCGCCTCCCCCAAGCACTAGCTCGATCCGGACACCGAAAGCTCTTGGACCGCTTTCAGCTTCTCCGCCAAGAGAGAAAGATATTTCACGTGACTATAAGCTGTCTTTCACCGGCGGCCCCGGTTCCACCCGGTCACCCGCGACTGCGTCGAACTCACCCACGCGGCAGCAACCGGCCGGCACCGGCCGAGACGGTGAAGATCACAGAACCGGCCACGTCGCGCGGCCAATCTAAACCACGCACGTATAGAGAGACCACGTAGCCGGCCAGCCCACCGTCGGATCCCCCGGAGCTCGACGGCCCGATGCCGTCCACGAGCTCGAGGACCATCTTTTCATTTCCTTCGCTCGCAGCGCCAAAGCTCTAGACGGTTTTGCTGTCGCCATCCTCAAACACGAAGAGATCGTCACTGCGGAAAGCCGACTCGTCTAAAGTTGTGCTCGCCGATGCATTTGCCCGCGCTGATAGTGCTGTTGCCACTCAAAAGAATCTCGTCCTTTTCCTCCTTTACTTTGTGTCGCCAAAAACTTCGCCGCCCACTGTACCAGATGATCTTTCGCTGCGAAGAGAGTGGCCAGACTTCTCCTTGCCGATGATTAGCTAGTCGCTGTTCTTTGTTCTTGTCCTTCCCGTACTACGGCAGAAGCAATCCGGTAACGGTAGATTTCTCCCGGTGAAGAGGCTTGAGCTGTGAACTTCCCACATTCGCTGAGCGAGCTCGGCACCGCTAAGTCCCGACGATACTGAGGTTGCGAAAGCTTGCCTGTTGAGTACCAGCGTCTTGCCACTGCCGTGCATTGCTCGCATTGCCACCACCATCTTGTCCATGTTTCCGAAGTAAGTAGCCACGTAAATGTCGCTGTGGACGGCTACGTAGTAGTCCACTGCCGCTTTGCTGTTGCCGTGCAAGCCTTTCAGGGCGTCGGGGCCGAGGATGGCGAGCTTCCGATATATGTTGGGGTATACTCTGTAAAAGGCCGTCTCCTCGAGGAGGCCGGAGCCGGAGGCGAGATAGATTGGCATGGTGGTGGGAACCCTGAGTGCCTGGAGGACGAACGCAGCTTCTCCGGGAGTAAGCGGACACTTTCCCCTGTTTCTCCACGATTCCGCGAGGCTGCCGGTGAAAGGTGCTTTGTTGTCGCGAGCGGCTTCGATGGCGTCTAGCGAGGCCTTCGAGAGGTTGGAATACGTGCACCTGCTGTACGCGATCATGTCCGGCTCAAATCTCAAATGGAGTGCTAGAAACGGACGGGGAATCGCGTCCAAGACCGTTTGAGCTGTGTTCTCAAGACGCTGCACGAGACGGAGAGCTTTATAGCAAGCTTGACACCGTGACGCTTTGGCCCATAGTGGATACCTGCATGCATATACGGGAAGCAGTTGAAGCCTCTCGAGAAGAAATAAAAGAGAAAACCACTCACCTGTCCGATCTTTGGCTTGCCGCGGGTCGAATGATTACTACTTTCTCTTTGAGTAACACGGGCAAAACAGCCTCAACGTAATCAAAGAGCTTCTTTTTCTGGCAGTCGATCAGCACCGGTTTCTTGGAAGCGTAAGAGGGAGGAAGCTCCTTTACAAAGCGAACGTAACCCTTCATAGTTTCGATAAAAAAATCCGCATCGAAAATGTCTGAAAAGCCACTAAACCATCACACAGTCAGAGATTGATTGTCTGAAAGAGAGAAACTCTAGAAAAACTATGAGTCTTCGTTGCTTTGAGTAGCATACACACCTTGAATCGTTCCAATACGGAGTTCCTTCAAATTGAGGTAGCAGCAGTGTCGCGTTTAGAAGACGCGCAACTCCAACACCATCACAAAACTGCACGAAACTCGTGAGCTCTCAACACGCATTGAAACTGTGACACTTACATCCCTTCGCATTTGATTGAGGCCCCCATTGCAATCCACAATAATGTAGCCATTGCTCACACCGGGAAGAGCTGCAAGAAAAATCCATCCATTCAACCAAACTTGCACAATCTCACAATCCTACCATGCTGCCGATCATTCCACCACGAGCATTGTTCGAAATCACGCCTAGCTCTCGGATCACTCCACCAGATCTGATTGTAGGACACTCCGCTGACAAGCAAGAGATCAAAAGATTTCTCCCTCACGAAGAATGCGCATTTCACTTACATCCTGGATCTCGGAAGCGATCGCAGCGAAGCGATCAAGACGAGCAGCGAGAAGAATCCCGCCACGAGCAGCCCTCGCTTCATTGGAGAAATGGTAAATAGTTTTAGGGCTTACAATAAAGTATAGAACTCGAATCGAACACACGAAGGCATTTCGGCCGGACAGGATCGACGGCTGAGAAAAACGCAATGACATAGCAGGCAGATCCTAGCCGTTGGACGCTGACGGGTTTGGTTGACGGCTGGCCTTTGCATTTTGACGGGCAAGCGGCCAGTAGAAGAAACACACGACTGGAAGAAAAGGAGCTCCATTTCCCAAGGATCATATGGCCGGGCAGCGATCCAGGTAACAGATCACGCTCGGCGGCGCCGGGGGCGGGGCTAGGGCGCTGATCCAGCGCTGCGTTCGCTCGATCTGACGCTTTAGGGTAGGAAATCATGGCGGAGAGCAGGAATTCGACGATCCAGTGGAATGCCAGCGTCGTAATCCTTCGCACCAGGTTGAAGTGAGCCATGGAATCACGGCCGCGAGCGTTGGAATGGCTGCCGTGATGCCCTCTATGGCGATCGCGCTTCAAGACGCCCCTGCCAGAGCTTCCGCGATGTCGGCAAGATCTAACAAAAAGCAAGATTTGCACGCCGCCGGGAGGCGCCGGGTGAGTGATTCCTCCAAATTTCTTGCGGAAGTTTTGATCTTTGTTTCTTCTCTCAGCTTGAGCAATTCAAGAAGAACAAGCGTGAGAAAGCTACCAAGCAAGCTTCTGAAGAACAGCCTTCCACTTTCGAAGCTCTAGAACCGGTCGATTCAAATGGGGATATCTACACCGCGGCTTTTCCACCGGCGGCTGGCCAGGATCAACACTCTCAGATTTTTCCGAGCGTCCAAACGGATTTTCCGAGCGTTCTTCCTCCAGATCAATTCGAGCCACCTCCAGCTGAGAACTCCGACCCACCGAGCTATGCCACCACCTTTGGGAATTCCAACTTCCACTCCACTGACCTTGTACACTCGATCGTGGATGCTCGACACGCCACCATCGACCAACTTCCACACCCAACGACCGATCCTCTCCCACACTCCACCATTGCTCTTCCACTGGAGGGTGAAGAAGACTCGAGGTATAAGAAAACTTTTTCCGGTGACCACTTGGGAAAGGAAAAGCCGGGAACGAACATTGCCGGGAGTGAACAACGGCCAGCAACTCTATTCCAACCGTCGTCAAATTTTGCCGCTGCGAAACAAAAGCCACCTCGTTCGCACTCCTCGGACTCTCTCTTTCGACCTCTTCGTGCTGCTGTGCCCGAAGTAACGAATGGTGATGCGGCTGTCAAGTCCACGCCAGTGACAAGACATCACATAGACGAGCCACGGTACGAGGCACAGAGACCACTAGCGCCTTTTGCGAATGATGAGACACCTTTGAGTTCCTCCCGCAAAGATGACTTCGCTGCATTGGAACAGGTAAGAGATATGGTTCTTCCGCGATTGCTATTGACTGAAATGCATTTTTTTTACAGCACATTGAGGACTTGACGCAGGAGAAGTTTTCTTTGCTACGCGGTCTAGACAAGGCTAAGGCGTTGGTGGAGACACTGACTCAAGCCAACTCTGCTCTCACGGAGGATTATAATCAGCAGGTTGTTTCAATCATCCTCAAACAGCTATTCTTGATTTTATCTTGCTGCATCGAGATCAGCTGTTTGCTATCCAGTGTGATAATAGTGTCGGTTCAGTGCTTTGCAGGGTGCCAAAGTAAACGAATTGAAAGATGAACTTGCAAGATTTCAGCAAGAGTTTCGCTCGCAAGAGGTATGCATGCACCGAACACATGTGAGCAAAGTTACACACCCTGTGTTATTGTTGCAGGCCGTGCTTAAAAATCTAAAGGCGGAGAGGGACAGAGCAGTTCAGGAGAGCACCTCAGCAATTGAACGTTCTCGAGGTTTCGCTGCAGAGATTGTTGGCCTTGAAGAGAAGGTCAGCTCGTTTACATGTTTCATTTGGATTCTGATCGTCAGTCATCTTGTTGTACAGATTTTGAAAACTCGATCGCAAGAGCTAAAGTCGCAAAAAGAAGTCCAGTCTTTACGTGCGGAAGTTGAATCATGCAGGTCAGCTTTGCAATTGCATTTCAGTTCCTTTGTTTTGATCAAAATACTCTAATTTTTGCAGAAGGCAGATTCTATCAATAGAAAAGGATCGCCTTAATGCCATTTCTTTGAATGACGCATTGCAGGAAGGTTTGTCTCGATCACGTGTTACTTGTGTGATGGCTGACTGGCTATATTTCAGAAAAGAAGCTCCTGCTGTCTCGCATTCGTGAAGCGGCAGATAAAACGTATCCTATCAAGTCAGCATCCACAGAAGACGCTTCAACCTCAACCGACGATCTCGGTAATTATTTCTGCAAGATTTGGCTAGTATATTGTCTCCGATTGTTTCTTTTTGCAGTTATAGAGCGCGAGCCTCAGGCATCGGATTCAGATCAAGAGCCGTCCGTCTTCGCGTATCCAACCTCACTGCCTGAAGACCAGTTGGGAATTATAGAAAGTATCAATGCTCTAGTAACAGAGGTACGCCAAAAAGATTTCTCCTCGCTGGTAAAACATGGTTTCTTTTTCTTTTTAATAGTTGGGAGAAGAAAAGGAGGCACTCTTAAGATTACTCAGGAATGAATCGAATGCGGTCACTCAACTAAAGGTGTAACTAGTGGATACTGTTTCTTGCTGTCTAATCAAAATCGGTGCTGGTGCTGCAGGTTGAGAACGCCGAGTTGATGCAAAAATTAGAGAGCCAAACGCAGCAACTGGAGCTCGCAGTGGCCCAAAGCATGGCTCGCTCTGCACCTTTGGTGTCGCCTATAGCTTCTCACCAAAGTAACGAGGAACTGGATTACATTGACGAGGGAGACGAGGTGAGAGCTTTACACACACAAAGTTCATCTTCTAAAGTCTCTCTT